ATTGCACAGCAAAATGAAGAGTACACTGCGAAATGATACTATTTCCAGTACACATCTTCGTTGGCATGAGCTCTATCACTTCGGATTTTATCCAGTCCATTACAGCACATGTCCGGACTTCGTCATCTGCAGCGAGGTCAGCCACTTGTGAAAAAGATTTACACATCTCGTCATATCTCAACTGTCCTGGAGTACTGACCAGACCATCGTAATTCACTACAACCCTCGTATGTGGTCTACGGACATCTCTTCTCCACCTTAATAGTGTGTACTTATCTAGCAATCGTGTAACGTCGTTTCGGATCAATACTGTAATTGCATGTCTGCAAATAATCCCCCTGAACTCGAATAAGTGGCAACTGCAATTTATCTCACAACGCTCCATATCAAATAAGACGAGAAATGTTTTTTTCTTTCATTGCCCGTGATACATCACATCCTCATGCACCTCATATGTTGTCCCCGAACACCCCTCAGAAGTAGAAATGAGGTCACAGTGAACCTTTCCCTTGAACTCATCTTGTACTTCTCTGAATTTTGAAATGGTATAAACTGACTGGAAATGCTTCTCAATTTCGTAATTAGTTGCGCAAGGTACCATTTGTGAATATGACCTGAAATCAGCCTGGAACTCCTTCTTCGCCTTCAGGGCTCTTTCGCACTGCTCCACAAATTGCTTCAACGAGGTCTTCGAATGCACATACCCATCGAAGAATGCATTCATACTCTCACTTCGTTGAGTTGTGGACATCTCAGCCCAGAATGTGGTTCTTAAGAAGTAAGGAACCCATTGACCTCTATTATCATACAATCCTGACAACCACTCATTCTCATGTAAGTCATAAGCATCAATCATCTGTTTCCACCCCTCTTCGAATTCTTCAGCAGTTTGTGAATCGTAAACCAAATTATGCAAAGTCGAAAATATCCCGCACTTATCAACATGATACCCAAACTTTTCCGGCAGCTTCTTCAAAATGTGCCATAGATGTCTCGTGCATGGGAAAACGATCCCAATTGCGTTTTGCATGGCCCGATCTTGATCAGTAATTACTGCATTCGGAGCTTGTCCATGCATGCACTCAAGCCACGTCCTGAATAGCCAGACAAACGTATCTGTGTCCTCATTAGCTAACAAACCACAACCAAACAATATTGACTGCCCATGATGATTCACTCCAACAAAATGGGCAAACGGCATGTCGTACTTGTTCGTTAGGTAAGTGGTATCGAATGTCACAACATCGCCAAACTCTTTGTACGCTTGCCTATACCTATCATCTGCCCAGAAGATATTCTTTAGTCAACACTTGTCGTCTAAATCAATGCTGAAGTAAAATCCCGAGCACTTTGCTTGCATTTTCGAAAATTAGGACTGTATTGCAGCTACGTCTCCCTCTCCAAGTCTTAAACGTCTAACTTGTTCGATATAGTTTCTGCAATCCTTCTCTATACATGTCATGTTCTCATATCCACCTACTTCCGCAACTGTGGAGTTGTAACTTTTTTGTAACGGAATGCCTGCAACATCATTCACTTCAAGTTTACGTTTCACATTTGCACTCAACTCCCTATTGCATCGATACAACCTAGATTTAGAAGGACTAGTCTCATGGTTGTGATCAAGGTGGACTGTGTTAATTCTCCATCTTCCACGACAATCTGAAGAGGCTGAGATCCTTGCTTTACAGTCAGTTTGGCATATCGATTTAGGCTTTAAAGACCCACTCACATTACTACTTCTTCTGCCTTCACGACTGCATGTGAAAGTTACATATCTCAGAATGCCATCATCCCCTTTTTTTGAGTTCCGTCTCCTAACAGGAAAACGTATATCATAAGCATATCTCTTGTACATCTCAAACATTTCTGTTTCGTTGTTGAACATCATTCCTACCTCCGGTACAATCGGACCATTTTCTCCTAACCTTTCATCCTCAACCCTGTTCATATTATCCGCACCATTATCATTGGAGGACTCCACCAATTCATCATTCACATCTTCCATAATCTTTCCACTGCAGCAAAACAAGGGGTACCGTTCATCAAAATATAAACCATTTACATTGCATCATGCACTATCTTAGCAAAATCACATAATGTGGTGGTAAAATTACGAATTTGGGGAGTTCAACAAGGGGATATACCACCATGTAGTAGCTTAAGAATCTAAAATCACATATTGTGGTGCTACAGTCACAAATTTTAGGAGTTCAAGAAAGGGAAATACTCATGCAGTAACATTTTCTTTGCATTTCGAATAGACAGTGTCATGATTAATTCTTTTGAATTGGAAATGCATTTGAATGAAACCTTTTTATTAGTTCTTCTAATAAATTGGTGGCAGTTAAATGAAATCAAGTGACGATTTCTTAGTCAAAGGCATGTTGATGCATTAACGGTTAATTGCAAAATCAACTGAAGACAGTAAATTGAAAACAAGTGCGAGTACAATGCAGGAACAATGGCGTGCTTCCAATCCAGAATCAATCGGACATACAGAACAAATGCGATCTAACAAGAACAAGAATGTTACAGTAGCTTACGTATAATGGCGTGCTTCTAATCTCCAAAAATCTGCAATGAAAACGGTTGCTGGAGCCACAGGATAATGCTCGAACCACATCGTACTGAAGATCGCAGTTAAGCCGAAAGGAAGCCCATTTCTCGAGCATCCGACCGCATCGAGTGGTGTATAGGTCGCTGGACTGTGACCGGAGGTGAGAAGTCGTCAACTGCATGAGAGGGGTTTCGGAGAGCTGAAATTGGGGGTACAGGGTGCGCCGGCTTCAGTTCAGCTCTCCGTTGTTCAGTTTGAGTCCGGCGGTGGGGATGTGGCTGAGCGTCGACCGAAAATGGGGCTTGTGGGAGAGATAGAGAAAACGAATTGGGGGAGGAGGGGGAAACGAGGCGTGGTCTAAGAATTCTCCCTCCTTTTGTTCTTTGTGTCGGTCGTTTTTTATCTTCTTCTTTTTTTTAAAATTTTTTGAATTCCTGTAGAAGACCTGTGAACCACCCATGTACCCCAAGCATTTTCCGGTTAGGTTTGGGCTTGCTGTAATTAATTGGGTTGGGTTTTGGTTAGAGAAATTTAGGACGTAATTACTACTTCCTAAAAAGGTTTAATTAATTTAAAAAGGTATTAATCAAAACACTTTAAAAAAGAGGGTATAGGGCCTAATTTCTTTTTTAAATTAATTGAGTTAATTAAATATTGGACTGTATTACATTTAAGAGACAAGTCAAGTCCGTTCGGACTTATATTAATAGGTTGCTAAGATTTGAAAAACTGTAGAGAATACATACTTCTATTTTTGCTTGCACAAGAAAAGAAAACCTTAGGTCTCTCAATCTTTCTCCGTGTAGATTTTCATTGGAGGCTGGATGATTTGACATCTATTGATTGTAGATTATAAGTATTCTTCAAGGAATTCATCAAAGTTATAATTCTTTATCACAATTTTTCTTAAAGTAAAAAACAAATTTTTGGTGGGAATTGAAATCTGTTTTATTTTTCGTTACACATGATTAAGTAAATTCCCAACATGGGGTACATGATTGCTTGAATATCACATCAAATCTTACTAGTATATTGTCGAATAGTATATCGATAAGAATGTTTGGCCGAGCTTAAATTGGTGCTTAAAAGTATATTTTCTTGACAATATGTGAAGGTGATGCTATAGAAAAAGGTACTTTTGAGCATGTTTTAAGCTTAGCCAAACACATTATTGCAATATGCTAAATGTTTGACCAGTTTATAAGTCCACCCCAAAAGGAGAAAAAAAAAAGAAAAAAAAAAAAGAAAGGAAAAACACACAGATTAAGTTGGTGATATTTTATGACATCGCAGACAAACTCCCATTAGAATATGATGACTTTGTTTGTCCTACTTGGAAATATAAGTATCACGCAAGTATCTTAATTTATGAAATAGTCATGGACTATCTACGGTGAGACTTTGAGATTCTTGATTGTCTCACTAGTTACATATTTGTTGGGAGTAGATTTAGGTACAAGTAATTTGATCCTTTATATTATTATTGACATCATGCTATTTCTTCTTATATCTATTATATTATTATGTCACAAAGACAATTACCAAAAATTTAGGCCAATGAAGTTGAGTATTTCAATCTCATCTGTTGTAAAGCTACCATTTTTTTCTCAAAATAGACACATGATTATTGGGTTATCTGCATGTGCTAGTCGTAAAGAAGAAAATTAGTAGTATTATTTGTTAAACCTATAAATTACGTGGCATGCGCGTGACGGAGGGAGTCCTATAAATGCCTATGTGACATTGAATATTCAACTGATTGAGCTATTTAATTAAACATCTTTGGGCCTGCACTTGGTTCGGCCCACTATCTCATATGACCCATTTTCTTCCTATATGTGTGTGATTCATTTTACAATCAATGTATGTTCTCAAACCCTAATCAAAGCTTCATCTCCGGCCCTCTCTCACACTCTTTATATTTTCGTCTGATCGTTGATTTGATCGCCGTAATGCAAACAGTCGTCGGACCTTTTTCTCGATTAGCGATCTTTGCCTCCTAATGAGGTGTTCCAGTGTGTAGGTGATGCCTACGTGGAGGGAAGGACGTCGGGATTTTGTTGGTACTTTTTTGAAATCAACGGATTGACGCCTTTTGTGCGAAACCATATGTTTACCATGTCCTTACCACATTCAAAAAGTCATTGGAAATGAAGAATTTTTTGGAACGATTTCCCTACCTAAGTAGCAAAGACAGAAACCAAAATTTGAAGAAGCCAGCAACATTGAAAGAAGAAAATTCTACCGGAAAGAGGGGATGATAAATTTTCTTTGGAAGCAAACAAGCAGATAGGATTTTTCCCTGAAAAGGGAGATATTGGTCGTGAAATTTAGAAAATAAAAAGGAAGTTCTCTACCATTTTTTGGCACCAAGTTCATAAAGATGGAAACCACCGGTTTGTGTTTGAAGCACTAAAAAACCCATTAAAAAATAAAAAAAATAAGAGAAGAGAAGAGGCCGTTATTTGTCCATGTTGTAAAGAATTTGGTAAAAGAAAAATGCTCAACTAGATCTGCTTGGATAGATCAAATGAAAATGAACAAATATGTCAAGCTTCAACTCCATGAAAGCTCACTTGATCAATGTTGACATCAGCCAGAAAACCCACCATCTTCATCTTGTTTTCTTTCAAACAATGCCCGATAAGTGCTCCATGCTCCTCTAAGAATCAGTATTGTTCAGAAAAACAATCAAGCCACAAATCAAATAGCCCTATTACCAAGAAGAGGATAAATAAGCTACACATTTCAGTCTGACCTACTGCCGAAACGTCCATTACCTCTGGCGATCACCATAACATCAACCTCCGGTTCGACAACCTGCAACACCACATTAACCACCGGTCTTGGAGTTTAGCTTTTGACCAGTGTTCTCATTAAATTCTAATGGAGACAGGATCGTCGTGGTGTGTTGGACTAACATAAGTTGTCTATTCAGCTTTGCAAGCTGTTTTGTTTGGTGGAATAAAAGACGGATATTTACGTCTTGGTACTTTTGCTGGATTGATGTAAATTAATTTGAGAAAATTACTTAGAAACCTACCTTTAAAGATTAATTTTCAAAAAACAAGGGAATTAAATTTTATTTCACAAATCAGGTGGTAATTAAGCTTTGATAATTATAATTAAGAAAAATTTAATTGTTTATAATCTACATATTCACCTTACCCAAACCCCACGCCGACACACCTACCCACGCACCATTTATTTTGAAATCCCTAAAAAAATTTCTCTCACTACTCTCTCTCTCTCTCTCTCTTCTATTCTCTTCCAAGCGTAGAATTGCAGCATGCAGAAGCTGATCGGTGACAACCGTGATGATTTTAGCGTCACTTCAACGGTGCTGTGAGGCCGCTAACGGCGAATTCGACGACTCGCACTGCGCGATAAGGTGCTAATGATTTGTGTTGACAGAAAGTGGTGGCGGTGTCAAGAGAAAGTTGGCTTTGGAGTGGGCTTTTTCCGTCCAGGCAGAATGCAAAGCTGGAGGTGCTAAAAGCTCGGGACAAGGCAAGGCACACTCGAACATTGCTGAGTTTTGATGATAACATTGTGAATTTCCCGATCATTAGTACCTCAAATATGTGTTTAGAACTGTGATTTGAAGTCAGAAAATCTGTCATTGAATAAGAATGGAATTCTAAAGGTGTTAGATTCTATGGGGTGATTTTGTTGTTGATGCTAGTGTAGACTGTGATGGTTCTATTACTAGTGGTGCATTTGGTCGTTTAATTTTTTATGTTGTTGGGGGTTGTGGTTGTGGATGTTTTAGTGTTGGTGATTTTCTGATTTGTGGTGATTATGTTGTTGGTGATGTGTTAAGGTGGTGTATATTTGGTAACGTGGTGGTGGTGTAGGCTATGATTGTTCTGTGGTTGGCTATGATGGTTCTGTGACTGATTGTGACTCGAGATTGATCTAATCACAGACAGTCACACTGAATACAATTTCGGTCACAATTAGTCACACCAAAAACAAAGTTGGTCACAGTTAATCACAGGTTTGCGATGTGTGTAGATTTGTTTGTGGTGACCCTATGCGATCAAGTATGTATTTGTTGTGACTGTTTGTGACCAATTTTGTGTTAATTGTGATCGGTTGTGACTTGAGATTGACCTGGTCACAGACAGTCACACTGAATACAAATTTAGTCACACAGAAAACAAAGTTGGTCACAGGCGTCGGACTGTTCATTGGAACAATTTCGGGGAGGTATCGCTGAACAACCGTCGGAGGGAGCGTCGGAGCAACCGCCGGAACAGTCATCGTGATGGTCGCCGGAGCGATTGCTTGGTGTAGTGGGGTGATAGGATGGCATGGGAGAGGTGGCACTGGTGGAAATAATTAAGGTATATTATATTATATTTTAATATTTAATAAAATTATTTACCACCTGATTTTTGAAATATTTTAATGAGTTTGTTATTTATGAAATGTGATCTTTAAAACTAGGAGTTATGTTAAGATCCCAA